AAAAAAAAAAAAAAAAAAAAAAAAAGCAATTGGGGCAGGAGTATTATTATATCTGCAATTACATCTATATGAATCCTGGTTTTTAAAAAATAGTTAACTAACAGTCCTCCCTTCCACCCCCATCAGATGCTTAACCTTGTCTTCCATACCACTGTGAGCACCTTTATGTTTCTCTGTCATCTTCTTAGAAGTTGAGGATAAGGTAGTTCAGGTTAGAAACTATTTGGCCAGGTGCAATGGCTCACGCCTGTAATCCCAGCACTTTGGGAGGCCAGGAGTTCCAGACCAGCCTGGCCAACATGACGAAACCCCGTCTCTACTGAAAAAAAAAGAAAAAATACAAAAATTAGCCGGGTGTGGTGGCACATGTCTGTAGTCTCAGCTACTCAGGAGGCTGAGGCAGAATTGCTTGAACCCAGGAGGTGGAGGTTGCAGTGAGCCGAGATTGCACCACTGCATTCCAGCCTGGGTGACAGAGTGAGACCGTCTCAAAACAAAACAAAACAACTATTTGGTGGCCAGAATGAGGGGAAAATACTTTTCTGTGGTTTAGACTAGGAATAGGGGAGGAAGAATATACAGAGAATTGGAGTTCTAGAACTTAAGTTTTGGCTGGCTACAGTGGTATACACGCCTGTAGTCCCAGCTACTGGGGAGGCTGAGGTGGGAGGATTGCTGGAACCCGGAGTTTGAATCCAGCTTGGGCAACAGAGCAAGACCTCAGAATTATTTTTTTTTGAGACAGAGTCTTGCTCTGTTGCCCAGGCTGGAGTGCAGTGTCGCCATCTCAGCTCACTGCAACCTCTACCTTCTGGGTTCAAGCAGTTCTCCTGCCTCAGCCTCCTGAGTAGCTGGGATTATAGGCGTGTGCCACCATTCCCAGCTAATTGTTTGTATTTAGTAGAGACGGGGTTTCACCATGTTGGTCAGGCTGGTCTCGAACTCCTGACCTCATGATCCACCTACCTCAGCCTCCCAAAGTGCTAGGATTACAAGCGTGAGCCACCGTGCCTGG